AACCATAACATCAGCCCCATCCACAACATCACCTCTAAACCCATCATTACCAAATATCGTCTCATCCCCATCCACTACATCACTTCCGACTCCTCCACCTTCACAACAAAATCAGCCCCTCTCCCCTCAAATGACAACCAGAGCCCAACACGGTATCGTCAAACCTTGCAAACTCTTCAATCTCCATACATCAACCTCAACCTCCATATCCCCTCTACCTACAAATCCCATTGATGCATTAAATGATCAAAATTGGAAAATGGCCATGAAAGACGAATATGATGCTCTTATTGAAAATAAGACGTGGGACTTAGTTCCTCGTCCGTCTAATGCTAATGTTATTCGAAGTTTGTGGATTTTCAGGCATAAAAAGAAATCTGACGGATATTTTGAGAGATACAAAGCTCGCCTTGTAGGTAATGGTGCAAATCAACAAACAGGTATTGATTGTGGTGACACATTCAGCCCGGTGGTCAAACCGGCTACCATTCGAACGGTTCTAAGTGTTGCTTTATCTAAATCATGGTGTCTTCATCAATTAGATGTTAAAAATGCTTTCTTGCATGGGAACCTTCATGAAACCGTATACATGCATCAACCTCCTGGATTTCGTCATTCTCAATTTCCTGATCATGTCTGTTTATTGAAGAAATCTCTATATGGTCTCAAACAAGCACCTCGCGCCTGGTACCAGCGCTTTACTGATTATGTAGCTACAATGGGCTTCTCTCACAGTATTTCTGACCACTCTCTTTTTATATATCATCATGGCAATGATATAGCTTATATTCTTTTGTATGTGGATGACATTATTCTTACTACATCATCTGACACTCTTAGAGAATCTATCATGGCACAATTGAGTTCTGAATTCTCCATGAAGGATCTGGGGCCTTTAAGTTATTTTCTGGGTATTTCTGTCACCAAACATCCCGAAGGCCTTTTTCTTTCTCAAAAGAAATATGCAGAAGAAATTATCGAACGAGCTGGTATGTCCTCCTGCAAACCATCCCCCACACCAGTAGACACAAAGACGAAACTCAGTGGTTCATCCGGTAACCCTTACCATGATCCAACCGAATATCGTAGCCTTGCCGGAGCATTGCAATACTTAACATTCACTCGACCAGACATCTCATATGCAGTTCAGCAGGTATGTTTATTTATGCATGATCCAAAAACTCAACACATGTCTGCCTTGAAACGCATTATTCGTTACATTAATGGTACCGTAGATCTCAGCCTTCATCTGTACCCTTCATCTGTCGACAAGCTCATTTCTTACACAGACGCAGATTGGGCCGGTTGTCCTGACACAAGAAGATCTACCTCCGGCTACTGTGTTTATCTCGGTGACAACTTGATCTCATGGTCCGCAAAACGCCAACATACCTTATCTCGTTCAAGTGCCGAAGCCGAATATAGAGGCGTAGCTAATGTTGTGTCTGAATCATGTTGGTTACGCAACTTACTCTTGGAACTATGTTGTCCTGTCACAAAAGCTACTCTGGTATATTGTGACAACATCAGCGCGGTTTATCTTTCCGACAATCCTGTTCAACATCAACGCACCAAACATATTGAAATGGATATACATTTCGTGCGTGAGAAAGTTGCTTGCGGTCAAGTACGCGTTCTTCACATTCCCTCGCGTTTTCAGATTGCTGACATCTTCACAAAGGGACTTCCGTTGCAACTCTTTGATGACTTTCGTGATAGTCTCAACATTCGTTCACCTCCAGTTTCGATTACGGGGGTGTATTAGATATGTAAATATAGAAAGATTATTATTAGTATTGATTACCAATGATTATTAGAATCATAACCACATATTTGTACTGTGTATATAAATGACTATCACATGAATGAAAAGGCACGACCTAAATTATCTTACAGCAACGTTCAAGTATAACATGGTGATTTCATTTGAGTTAGGGTCCATTAACTCATTGCAGTTAGCTGGAGGAGGGGAAGGGACTTAACAATTACATGAAAGTGTCAAAGTCTATTTATCCTAAAACCTAAGTTAATCAGTAGGACATCTCTTTTTCCTAACGGTGGCAAGACAACTTCAATCTCCCCAGGGCCAAACTTCCAATCTTTAATCTATCTTTATGCTTTTGCTCCTTTAAAGTTTGAAGCCACCCCCATGGAAAACTTCTGGTCATGTCGTCACACCTACCAGAAAAGCCTTGCATCAGTATTAAACAAAATAGAATTGATAAATAAAAAACAACAACGATAACCATGAAGCAACCTGCTTAAACTGTACCTCATGCCAATGATTTACATAGCAACTCTGCATAGACCTCATCAAGTAACACTTGCATTTCAGACATTTACAAAATATCCACAACAGATAACCTCCGCCAGTTCATATCAGTCCATTAACATAACAAGAAAGATCCAAAACCAGTCAGCATTAATCTATAAAAACTACTGCACCAATTAACCATCCCCCAAGACTCCTCCATGGCAGGCTTCATGCCAGCATACCTGCAAAGAAAACCCTACATCAATATCAGGAAAAACAGAATCAAATCAAACAAATAGTAAACTGGGGTAATTCACGGAGCAACTTATTCAGATAACACCTCATGCTTGCCAATGCTTATGCATCCAATATGCCATATACAAATGCAAACCTGTCACAAAATTACCCAACTAAAATCACAGTTTTAATTACAAGGAATCATAAAAGAACAGTCAAAACAAAAGTTAACTCAGCCTCATCCTTTTTCTCCTTGATTCTAGAATTTCTAAAACTCTAAAGTCACACTTGTTCTTGACATGCACCAGTACAAGGGAAAGAATTATTTTCAGCCTATAAATTGAACAAGCTGTGAAAGATCGAGAAGTGTTAGGTTTCATACCATGATTCAGGTTGAAACTCTCCAAGCTTTGCCATGTACTGATAATTTGAATTAGTACCCTGTATTAAGTAAACAAGTATAGAGAATTAGTTAAACTTCACAAGAACAACTTATAACAAGCAAACCAAGACAGTGAGGTATCGAACCCAAAGCAAAAACTTAATAATTTTGCAAATATGCTATAACAGAGAAATATTCAAAAATCAAGGGACATAAACACATGAATCAATGCTCAGTAAACAAAATTGGCAAGTGCAGAAACATAATCAGGACATGATAATCTAATTTTGGAATCAGTTTGGAAAAGTATTGAATCTTTCGAATGCAGAAACTCATTTAATCAAAATCGTAAGCAAATCAACTAATTGCATAAACAGACTTAAAGCAAATCAGCGCAAAAGAGGAGACAATTTGAATTCGTAACACATAATTATAGACAAATTAAAAGCTTTCCAAAAAAAACTTAATTCCTAAAAACACTATAAATTGAGGGGAATTATGGACGTTAGGGGGGAGGGCATTATGATTACAGTAGAAGAAAGAAATTACAGAGAGTAGAATCTTCACAGAAGAGGAAAATTAGAGTTTCAACGCCTGAAACCCTAATTTCCTCGTCCTTCGTCGCTCTAATCTCTCGTCATCATCATCATCACCGGTACCTGCAAGCCAAGGGAGACAGGGTCAGAACAAACATAATCAGAAGCAAGCACCATATTCGAAAACAGATTCAAAAGCTCAGAGGTAAGCACTTAGCTCTTTTGATCCTTGCGATTGGTGTTGGAGTTTTGATTTCTTTTTTAGGGTTTAGGAAGGGCTCGTTGTGATAACGGAAAGGGGGAGAGGCGATTGAGCGCCGCTGCGGAGAGTTGCAATGTGTTAGGGTTTACTGAGAGCGTGAGGGAGAGAAGAAAGAGGGTTGGGAAAAGTGTTTGGAGTAATAAGTCTTGTTTTGTGAAAAGAAAAAACAAACGTGGTCCATTGGGACAGGGCTGCTAACTGAGTACACCCCTATTTTACTACTAAAGTATAAAACGCGTACCCCCTTGGCCTCTTGGGCCTGAATTCATAATTTGAATTCAGGCCCTTCTATTAGCACCCCGTAAATATTACTTCACAACTAAAATCCCCCCCCCCCCCCCCCCCCCCCCCCCCCCCCCCCCCCCCCTTGCAAATTCTTTTTTTTTTATTTTTTATTATTTCCTTTTATATAGTTATTATCTTTTTTTTCTCTTCTGATTTTGATATATTTACATTTATATTTTAATTATTATAATTATATATTTACATTTATATGTTAATTATAATCATGTACATTTATTATTATAACTGACTAATTAATTTAGACTTAGTTAAAAAAAAATATTTATCTACGTTAAATCACATCTTTAAAATTATATACCTAGAAGTAATTCTCACAGTATAATTTGAATGAATATTTTATATCAAGATATTAAAACCCGTGATTTACAAAAATTATAATATCCGCAAACGGTACGTGGCCAATATCTGATCACGTGATAAGATAGCTATATCAGACTCTTCGGTTATATACGTCTAAAAAGTACGCAAACAAACGTCAAATTATTTTTTATTTTTTATTTCATCCAATTTGGTGTGTATGCGATGGAATGAGATATTTCTAATAAAATAACTAAATGATGGAGTGAGATCCATATTCCATTCCACCTTGCTATGTTCCGTTTCACTCCATTCCGTTATGTTCCATTAATCTAAACATAATTCAAACAATATACTATTTGATAAATAATTAAATATGTTAAAATTAAATATGCGATTGATTAGGAGTATAATATCCCATTTTTTGTGATGGGTAGAGAGCTTGTACCCTAAAATAAATCCATCCCATAATACCGTGTGGCCATATTGAAGGAGAGAGATGGTGATATAAAGCACGTGTATGAATATTATTGGTGGTTATATATATATATAAAAGAAGAAAAACGTGACCTTGCTTGAAAACAAGCATTCTATTAATTCTACTACGTACGTACAAGATAAGGTGTAACGTGGTCCTTATAAATTTCACCTTTTTTATAACTCACCCCACAAACCAAACACTACACTTTATTATTAGCTCTGTTGTTTTTTATCACACTGATAGCAAGCATGACTTCATCACCATTATTATTCACAGTGAGGAGGTTCCAACCAGAGATGGTGCGTCCGGCTGCATCTACTCCTCGTGAAGTTAAACTACTCTCTGACATAGATGATCAACAAGGCTTACGTTTTAATATTCCTCTCATTTTTGTCTTTCATCGTGAACCATCAATGGCTGGAAAAGATCCGGTAGAAGTTCTTAGAAATGCACTGTCGCAAACACTAGTGTATTACTATCCATTTGCGGGAAGGATTATAGAAGGTGTTGGACGCAAGTTGATGGTTGATTGTACTGGTGAAGGTGTCAAGTTCGTTGGTGCTGAAGCTGATGTAACACTTGATCAATTTGGCGACTCTCTCCATCCACCATTCCCTTGCTTCCAAGAGCTTCTCTACGATGTTCCAGGCTCGGAACTAATTATTGACCGTCCTATTCGACTCATACAAGTTAGTTTTAATAATTCTTGAATCCCTGACATCTAAATACGTTTTTCACTACAAGAAATATGAAACATACTAACAGACACCAGACACCATTAGTAATGATTGATAAGTGTTGGGATTTAATATAATTTTTTTTTTTTTTAAATAGAAAAATATATGGTAAAAAAGCATTTACATGACTTTGAAGTTGTGCAGTGGCAAGTTAGTTACTTTTTTAAAACACAATTTTGTGAATACAATTTAAGCAGGATTTTCAATTTCCCACTTTTATTTTTTATGTGGATATAGGTAAATTAAAGTACATAGAAAAAAATGTCTGTTGATAAGGTTATATGATCGACCTATGTGTTGTTGTTATAAGTCAAATTTCTTGTAGTATACGAATTTAGTGTTAATAACTTGCATTTCGTTGGTTTATAAAATATTTTTAAACATGACAGGTGACACGTCTCAAGTGTGGTGGTTTGATAGTGGCTATAAGTTTGAACCATACAATGAGCGATGGAACTGGTATCAAACAGTTGATGGATGCATGGGCAGAAATGGCTCGAGGAGCACATCAACCTTCCATTCAACCAATCTGGTGTAGAGAGATCCTCATGGCAAGAGATCCACCACGCGTTACCTACAACCATCGTGAATATGAACAAGTATTTCCACCGAATAATACCATAAATGAAGAAGATACTACAACCATAACCCACCAATCTTTCTTCTTTAAACCTTCAGACATAGCTGCACTTCGTCTCTTGGTTCCATTTCAATGTACGACATTTGATCTTATCAGTGCATGTTTTTGGTATTGTCGCACAAAAGCATTGCAGTTAGAGGCAGAAGAAGAAGTAAGATTGATGGTCATCGTCAATGCACGTTCGAGGTTTAACAATAATCACTCCTCACTTGTTGGATATTACGGTAACTGTTTTGCTTATCCAGCAACCGTCACTACAGCAGGGAAGCTTTGTGGAAACTCACTAGGATATGTTGTTGAGTTGATAAGAAAAGTAAAAACTCAAGTTACAGAAGAATACATACGGTCTGTAGCAGATTTCATGGTTATTAACGAAAGGTGTTTATTTACAACTGTAAACTCTTGTATTATTTCCGATTTGACTAGAGCTAAATTTAGAGAAGTGGATTTTGGATGGGGTGAAGGGGTGTATGGTGGAGTTGCTAAAGGCGGGGCTGGACCTTTTCCAGGGGCAACTTACATTGTTCCTTATAAGAATGCAAAAGGAGAAGATTGTTTCATGTTACCAATTTGTTTGTCCTCTCAGGTAATGAAAAGGTTTGCTGAGGAGTTAGATCAGATGCTTAATAGCTAAATTGTTATACTATCATAAGTAGTCCTTGTTAATTAATTATTTTGTTTTATGTCAAAAATATATTTATTTTATATTATTTTTGTGTAAATTTACACTAACAATTATGTTGAAAAAAATCTAAAACTTCTTCATCATCATCTTCAGATATAAAATTAGTGAAGGTTAGACAAAGAAAACAATCTATCATGTATATAGACAAAAGATTATGTAAAGAATACAAACTATTTTATATTCTTGCAATTCATCGCAGACTATTTTCACAAATATTAATTATCAATGTTTGTGAATCACACCCTAGCATCTAAGATATATACTACAACGTTTGCATTGTGAATGACTGTCGTGAAGGTTTTCTACTGATCGCTAATGTTTCTTGTGGCTTAAATGTGTTGGCAGTGTCTTAAGCATCGACATTCAATAAATGAACGACAAAGATATGTTTATGAACAACAAATTTATGAGCCGGCCAAAGGCTCAAATAGCTAAGACCCAACTCTCCTCAAATCCACTCCACTTGACCCAAGATATGAAAGTTAATTCACAAAAGTAGATCTGTTTTCGGTCTGGTCCAGTCCAGATATAAACCCTCCCGAGAAGTGGACCGGACCGAAACAGTGATGGATAATTTTTTAGGACCGAAACCGGACCAAGTAGCATTTCAGTCGGTCCATTGGTCCGGTTCCACCGGACCGAATCTCAGGTAATCCACTAGACAACTTTCTCACAATGGGAAACTTATTGGATACTCGAGATAACAATATATACTAAGCATGACCGAGTACTTATTGGATACATAGTCTGATTCTTGTTTCGGGTATTGGATAAAAAAATTATCCATTCCCGACCAAGTAGAATTTCGGCCGGTCCATTAGTCTGGTTCCACTGGACCAGTTCTCGGGTGGATTTCGGGTAACCCGGTCCAAATATAACCCTACACACAATGGACAACGTACACTCTCTTATCTCCACTTTTCACTATTCTCATGTTGAATCTTTAACTGAATTTTGAGTTAGAGATCTAACCATGCAGGATCCACCACGGTGCCACCGTGACAAAGATCAACACCATTGTTTCAAGATCATTAGTTCTCTAACTGCATTCATTTTTGTTTCATGAACAAAATTAAAACTGACACTTTTTCCCTCGGTTATTTCTGAATAACTAATGTAAAACGTTATTTCCTTTTTAAATAAAAATGAAATTAAATAATGACATTTACCCTCGATTTTGAGACCAATTGAGGGATGTTGGGTGAGAATATGGTGCAAGAAAACGATCTAAATGAGGGTGAATATACTTTTCAAAATCGAACCAACCAATTTTTTATAAACAAAATATGAGGTTTTTCAGGGTATGCGCATAGAAGTTTTAGAGTGAAATAGAGTGAATTATACTTGAACAGAAATTAATAAACGTGAACACGTAATCAATGTACAACAAACAAAAATTGAATTAATGAAGATACACTAGGTATTCAATCGATCACATCATAATTCACGAGATATGATTATATAATGATTCAATTCGTGAATTCTAAACTCAACAAGTTTCTCAGATTTTAATCACCACTAAAGCTCAATTAGGTCCTAGTTCTAAGAAAACCTAATCTTTAAGCAATAAATCACTATCAATGCAATAAACGATAAACTTCTTTATGAATGAAAAACCTAGGAATGCAATATATTACGAAATTTCTTTCACAAGCTTCTGGGATTATGATAATGTCATAAAGAAGTATGACAAATCTTTGTAGAAATTTCTTTCTAAAAGCCTAAATAGAAGTATAATGACTTCAATGATCCATGGTGTTAGCTAAAATAGAACAAGAGGTATTGGTTATGGTTTTGATGAAGAATCCACTTCAAAAAAAGATGACAATCCAAAAACTCTTCATTCTCATTTTGTTCATGTTGGTTATGTGCCTAAATAAAAACATATTTCAATACCTAAGGCAAAACCAAAATTTCCTCGTCGTTTTTACTATTTATATATGTTAGATGATGTGACAGATCTAGAAGAGGGGGTTGAATAAATCCCTTTGAAATTTTTGCGCTTTTTGTAAAATTGTTTTTATTAGAGAGCGACAGCCCTGAATCTGATCGTCTAAACTTTACATATTGGAAAGATCGGATATGCGAACCAATTTGATGAAAATGATAAGAATAGAATCACAACTAAAATTGAATATGATGAATCGCTTTAGCAAGTTTAACAAGGTGTAAGTTATTACCAATTAGTTGCGGAGAATAAAAAGCAATTTGTGAGTTGTAAATTCACCAAACACTTGGTGTGCGTACTACACAAGGTTTGGTTATACTCAAATTCTGGTGATTATAGCGATTCAAATGAATGCTATATGAGTTGTAAATTTTAGTTTGTCACTACAATTATTTTGTATGAATGAGAAAAATTGATAACTCACAAATTTAAGCAAATAGAAATAAAATGCAGAAAACTAAAATGGACACAGTATTTGTTAAGACAATTCACCTTGTCGTCCTCGCGTGGGCTACTCTGCCCCCAATTCTAGAATCTAGAATTACGATTATGAAATTAATTTTGCAAAGTTTGTAAGAGAAGATACAATCACCATAATTCAAGGTCACTTGATGAATCTTATATGTTGCACTCCTCTTCCCTTGATTCTAGATGAATCAAGTATGCCAAATCTTGAACAAAATCTCCTTCTACCTTGAATGATTTTGAACCCTAGGAATTGGCCCCGAATCCTTCTTGACAATCCTCCGGTTACCGCTACCTGATTGAACACCCCACAGTCTTCCAATCCCTTAGCTCGGCTGAATTCAATGAAGCAAAGACTTGTGATAAAACCCCCCAATTTTGGAGGACAAAACCCCAATGGTTTTATTCAAGAAAAAACCCACAAAGATCTCTACCCAAATATGAAATTGAACTTTCAATTTGAAAGTTATCAACACAATCCCAAAAACTTGATCAACAAAAATGATTGTGTGTAGTTGTTGATGGTTGATGAGATGTTGAAGATGAAGAGAGCTCTTGTGTCTATCTTTCACTTTTTCTTGTTATCTTTGGAAAATAGTGGCCAAACAATATATATATATATATATATATATATATATATATATATATATATATATATATATATATATATATATATATATATATATATATATATATATATATATATATATATATATATATATATATATATATATATATATATATATATATATATATATATATATAAGTGATTCCCATGATGTAACAACATAGCAGAAAAATGAGACAATTTGGCGATGCGTTGGCTCATATAGGGTGTACAGAAGGCGTACACCTTCTCGAGCGAGAGAGGTTGAAATTCCTTCAGTCATGCGCCGACTCATTACCTGATGCACCAACTCATGTTTTCCCAGAATTATGCATCGACGCATAGAGAAGGCGTGCGCCTTCTCGGACGTTGCCAAGCCAAAATCTTCTTCTCATGAGCCGACCTAAGGTTCCATGAGTCGGTTCATGTAGTCTGTTTTAAGAAAAATGCTTGTTTTTGATGTTTCTCACTTGCACCTGTTTGAAGCATGACATATTTTCACATATAGGCTTTTGACAAGCATTAAAACTCAGTTCTTTCCCCTTTTCCGTCACATACTCCCCCTTTTTGATGATGCCAAAAACCACAAATATGAATCATCTTAATGGTTGCGAATCATCCAATCACCCCCCCCCCCTGAGATATTGCATATTTCTGTTGTGTATTCCTTCTCCCCCTTTAAAAACATCAAAAAGAAACAAGGACATGGATTAAGAGAACCAAAAAAAAGAATGACCAATATTTTGCAACTTTGCAAAAAGAACATAAACTAACATACACACAATATGAAGCAAGTGCAAATGAAAATAGATGCAATAACCAATAAAGTAATACAATACGATGTTCATTGTTACAAACCCAAAATAAAACACAAAGTAGTACAAGAAGTAAAATAGTTTAATACAAAACCATAGTAATACAAGCATAACTAGCAAGAAATAAAGTGTCAAGCATTAACTAATGTTGTTGTTTCTCATTGTCTTGTGGTGGTTCAACAGGTTGGTTTGGTGGAAAGCGAGCCATGAAAGCCGAATGAAAGTTTACCAAGTTTGTGTTTTGCGTTTCCATCATTCCATGAAGAGTGTTATATCGGCGGTCTTGGAGGCTAGCATAATCCTTAAACTGAATGTTTTGAAGGTTGACTATTCCAGCAAGATTGTTAATTCATTCATTTTCTAATACCATGTCTTCATGATGGTGGACGTGCATTTCCTCAAGTTTGCGCATCACCTCGTCATAGGATCTATGAGGCTCATGGTCATCATTGCCTTCTTCATCTTCTTCATCCTCTTCCGCACTTTCTTGATTCTCGATACCAACTTTACTGCCCTCAACATCTTCCATTTCATCATCATGTTCAACATCTTCATTTTGAAGCATTACTGAGTTTGATTTCACAAAGTACTTATACTTACCAAGCTGGGGATTCCATTGATAACCCATAAGTGCGAGAGTTTTGGAGGTAAAATCTGAATCCGGAAGGATAGGTGTAGGTGAAATACCAGTAAGATCAAGATTTGCTTGACTTAGAATTCCATGAATGAACGATGGATACCCCAAAGCAGATCCTCTAGGGGAATCCCTCAATGCAAATAGCCGGCTAATGATGTAATACGACCAATGAATATTAATTTTGTTTAGACCTAGGAAGTAGTTTAATAACCCTCAATGCAAGACCTAAGAAGTAGTTTAACTCCCCCATCATGCTCATCTCAAATTCACCCTGCATCACTTTAGAAAATTCCTTGACCAAGGTGATGTTAGTATACCAAAAAATGATATCATCTACATAAATTTGTACCAAGATGGAGTGATTTCCTTGGCGCTTAATGAAGAGGGTTGTATCAACCTTCCCTCTAGAGAATCCATTTTATAGTAAGAACTTGCTAAGCCGATCATTTAAGACCGTATAAAGCACGTTTGAGTTTA